TTTACAGACATGCCGTGGGTCTCTAAGGCCCCGTTCACATTGAGCGATTTATCGCGCGATTTTTGCAGCGATATCGCTCATATTTCCGCGCTATATCGCACTATGTAGCTTCACCAATACATTTCAATGTAGCTGTTCACATCTCGTTGCTCAATATCGCTTGTAGCTCGTCGCTGGTAGCTTGTCGCTCCTACATGACCCTTTTTTAGAGCGATTTTGAGCGATATTGCTCCTTATTGCATACAGCCCAATAGTAAGATGTCACGCAATGTCGCTCGATGTCGCTCAAAGTTGCGCGATTTCCATGTCGCTCAGTGTGAATGGGGTCTTAGGGACCTGGCAGAGATCCACAACATGTCTGCGCATGCTTCCATAGTGTGGCCTTACATGCCACACGAATGCCCAGACCACCACAGTTCTCTGCAAGTTCAATGGGACTTGGCAGAGACCACTGGCAATCTGGACTTGAGTGGTGGATCCAGTGCATATGCAGACATGTCGCCGGTTTCTGCCATGTACCTGAGAGCCCCACAGCATGTATGTAAACTTCCTCCTGGATGTGTGTAGTCATCAAAGTAGGTGGTGGGGCCTGGGATACCTCATCCTCCTCCTCGCCTAAATCAGGATTAGTAAAGATATAAAAATGGTATTTGCTAAATCCCTGCAATTGTGTCAGAGGGAAGGGGGAGGAGTCGGGTGAAAGGAAGTTGTTAAAATGGGTGAATGTCTGCTATAATGATACAAAGTATTTTTTTTGTTTTCTGATAATAAGCATAAAGTAGCAGAGAAAAAAAAACTACACATCCCTGTCTCTTTGTATGGCTAAGCTTTAATTTACACATGGTGTCACTCTTCACTATTTCCATTCTGTGGGGTGGGCACCTCTGGCACTCCCCAAGGCACCATCTGATTATGGGCCAGTCAGCATTACTGGAAAGGAACTACTTTAGTCCTAAGACCTATAAATGGTCCATACAATGGGGAGACTCCGTCCGCTAAACTCAGCACTTCACACCTGACAGATCAAGCTCACTAGGGACTCGATTTTCCTGACTTCAGGGCTGACAGGTTCTCTTGAAGAGCTGCACAAGATGTCACACAAGATGTTGGTCCTTCCACCGCTCCTCTATAGGAACCTTCTCAGCACAGAGTGACTACACCGGAATGCGATTGGTTGTTATGGGTCACTGCACTCAGCACGGCATGCTTCTTCTCTGCATTGCCTTTCTGCATAAGCCCAGTGTAGATAGTTCTACCACCGGCAAGACTCACCCATCTCACAAATCAGAAAAATAAAGTAAATAGGAAATATGAAATAAATAATATTTGTTTAGAAAAGATTTATTGACAGTACAAATGTTTTCATAAAAAAATTGAAGTCCTCCTAAACATATTTTAAAAACACAAATTCTTTCTATTACATTCCCATCATCTGCATAAATAGCTGTAACATTCACACAATGTTCTGTATTTTGGCAGAAAAATTCTGTTTACAAAGCAAAACTGACAAATGATTTGATCTAAATGTCCATTGATAAAATATTGGTGCAGCTTTGGCAATATGTCGGTGAAGGTTCCCATGAACCATCACATTCTCAAACAATTCACCCCCACACAGCTACCTCCTCATGTATCATTTACCCCTCCTCTTTCAGATTGTAAGCTCTGTTCCATCTTGTCTTGTATTGTGATTCTAATGTCTTCCTTATATTGTAAAGCGCTGCGCAAACTGTTGGCGCTATATAAATCCTGTATAATAATAATGAATCCTGGTCATGGTTTGGCTAGTAGAAGTCACATTCAGCTGGACTGGTTCTGTAATGTTGCCGACGTTTCACAGCTTATGTAAGTAGCCTCTTCAGTTCGGCAATATGTGACCTAAGCGGACCGTACACTGAATGTTGGCCAAGTTGTGCTGACTCTGGGCATGTGGCCCTATCGGCGACCCTCCATTCAACAAAATGTTTCAATTACCTTTTTTCAAAGGAGCCAGCCCGAAAACTCTTGGCTGGGCGGTGACTGCAGACAATCAGCTGCATCCACTATTTGGGTATTTTGGAAATTACACACTCGCTGTGCCAGAATACAATAGCCTGGCAAGGGATTTCCTCATCCACACTATTTAGCATGGATGGGAAAATCAAGGAATTTTTTGATATATCCTATTTTTTATAAATCCTTTGCAGGGTGTCAGGTTGGGAAGGATTTGCTTCTAAATATAATCAGGACAAATGAAAGTGTACTGGACACATTTTTACATTTTTGATCTCAGCAAACATGTAATGCAGACTGTCACTTTCACTGACAGGGTCTCTTTAAAAATACTCAAACTTGTAACAAGTAGCAAGCTCTACAGGCAATGACCTGAATCTACCCCTCGATTTGATATTGCTTGTGATTCTTTGACATGTGTTAATGCTATCTCTGTAACGCTATGTCAAACCAATAAAATACTTTGGCAATGAAAAATACTCAAACTCACGGCTCCATTACCACCTCCGGCTGCAGATCAGTACAATCACCACAGACTTATGTGTGCTCTCACCTCTCAAACAATTGTACCGCAATCAGCCGCACAAGACCCGTGTCCATAAAATCCAAAATGTATTGCAGTGAATTCCATAGAGGTGCTCTATGATTAAGCTCAGGTGGCGAAACGCGTGAGTGAACTTTTGGTGGTGTATACGCTGTATTCTGGACTTTACTACATTACAATATATTTTGGATTTTATGCACACCGATCTTGTGCTGCTGATTGCGGAAGAGTCTCTTTAAAGCTCACTCCCCCAACTCCTAAATACTGACCTTTGCCATGCTCCCGACCCCTCTGTCAGAGCCCTCACAAAATATTCAGATGTGGAGGAACATGTGACCTCATCCCAGGATGCAGCACTTGAGGGTGAGTACACAGCTGCCAGGCCTAGAACACCGGCAAGAGAGAAAGGGGGCTCATCCAGCCCTGTATAAACACCAGTACCATTAGAAATGGAGTCTGCACAGATCCACAGACCACCAGGGTTGGGGTGATGAGCATAAGTGGGCTTTAAAGAGACGCTGTTACTTTGTCCTGAGGGGGTGAAGTGAGGGTCTCTTGAAGGACAACCTCTTGTCAATCAAAGTGCTTGGAGCAGTTCATTCAATAAAGTAACATGCTCTTGCCAAGCATTACCAAGTGGCCACTAGATGGAGATAAATGAGCATAGAAATGAAACTTATTTTTGGTGCCATCTAGGGACCAAAATTTGATATTACAACCAGAACATTCAAATTTAATTACACTAGTAAAGGAAAAACGAAAGAATATTTATTGGTGCATATATACGCACAGGACAAACCTTCACAGATTTTTAAAGATCAAACCTGTGAACTCTTTATAAATCAACCCCGTGCATGTTCCTTTCCATTGGTGCAGGCCTGCTTATACATTCATACTCCCCTCTGCTCGCTTTCAGCATTGCAGAAGGAGCCCATACACCAGGCCTGACCATGCAGAATATTGGCCATGCTCTTTTTTTTTATCTCTAAGCGTCTCCCAGCATGCATTGCCTGAACTCTGTCCTTCTGCAATGGGCACTCTGATAAAGTTTTGCTTTGTAAGATGGAAGATTCCTTATCACATAAAACAGTAGAAAAAAAGAAACCTAAATATATATGGACACAGAAAGGGACAAACACAACCCCATTGCATAAGAAATGATTGCAGTTCATGTGATAAAGATCAAATATTTTCACAAAACCAACACCACAAAATATATGATGAAGCTTTAAAGGGAACCTGTCACCACAAGTGGAATTCTAAGATATAATAAAATGAAGTGTCACTCTTCCACTGGAGGAGCTGGGATCTGGTGACCCTGAACTTCCTGCAACTTCCCACCCTCCCTTCCCATTCTTTTTATTTGTCACATGGTTTTATATCCTTTGATCAGTTGGATGACTATTCAGGACTGAGGGTTAGAACAGATATTGAAGCATTAAGATTACCAAGGTTCAGTGCTCACAGATCATCTGGGATCGGGTTTTGTTTGAATGTCATTATCATTGTTTTGCTATGGTGATGACAAAAATATTTGGTGGAAATAACTCCTATAGACCTGTGACTAGGCCCATCCCAATATCATGTGGTTCTGACTCTTTATTGGACAAGGTGCTCGTGGTTTGGTCCATTATTTCTCCTTCATGCTTCTAAGCGGCCACGATTCTCTGTAGAGTAGGGAGTTCCTGACCCCAGAAAGCGGTACACTGTACAGACATTGAGGGGAGTTTATAAAAACTTGAGCAGACAGAAACTGGAGCAGCTGTGCACGGCAACCAATCAGCTTCTCTCTTTCATTTTCAAATCTTAACCAAACAAACTGAAGAGAGAAGCTGATTGGTTGTCATGCACAGCTGCTCCAGATTCTGTCCGCTCCCGCTTTGATAAATTCCCCCCAATGAGATTACTCGATAGTGGTTGTATTCCTTTAACAGTAAAAATGATTTGTTCATTCTCTCCACTCACTCTTCAGTACAGAGATCTGGCTTCATATGCGGCACAATCAGTGTCATGGATGTTACTGAATTTTATTAAATACATTTTTTAAATTTTAGACAAAATGGGGAAGAATTAGAGCCGTCACATTTGTTATTGTTGTCTGTATGTGCCCTGTGTGGGAGATTTTCCTTTCTATTGGTGAGTGTCGGGCAGAACAGAAAATATTTTTAATTGGGCCTCAGACACCAATAAAAACCCGACAGATGGTCTAACATCTTCCCGACTCCATCCGAAACTAGAGAAATAAGTTTTGCCTAGAGTTGGTTTTACATAAAAAGGTAACAATGATATATATACAGATAAAACATTTACATCTACAAGTGATGTTTATATCCAAACATCCGGAACAAAGTGCTCAGTTATTCAATAGTAGACAGGTCCACTTTGAATTCTTCAGTACAGAAAAAAAAACTAAAACAAGCCGGTGGATTGAAAAAAGCAGAACGTGCTGAATATGTTCAGTCTCCTTGTTGATGATCTTCAGACAATTGTCATTCTGTAAAGACAAACATTTGGTTTTACTTTAAATGTTCAAATATAAATGACAGATGTTGTTGTAGCAACTAAAACCTCTGAACTGACGCGGTGATTGTCGCCTTTCTTCACCAGGACCCAATACCACCAATGTAATGTAACGGGGGATGTGCGAGCTCATAATATCAGTTATTGTAATATTTAGAGTATATAATGGAACTTCAACAATTCCCATTTTCATGTTTGCTGCACCATAATTCCTGTCATCTCATACATATTGTGAGGCACAGGCGGGCAGGATTGTGGAAGGTGAATATGTGTCACCCGAGTATCTCAATTTATTTGAAACAGTGTGACGCAGATTTGTCCGTTACCTGTCACTGCTGCCGTTGTGTAGGCAACTGGGATGATCCTCCCTCCCCACAGCGCGCCCGCTCTATCCCTCCCCACAGCGCGCCCGCTCTATCCCTCCCCACAGCGCGCCCGCTCTATCCCTCCCCACAGCGCGCCCGCTCTATCCCTCCCCACAGCGCGCCCGCTCTATCCCTCCCCACAGCGCGCCCGCTCTATCCCTCCCCACAGCGCGCCCGCTCTATCCCTCCCCACAGCGCGCCCGCTCTATCCCTCCCCACAGCGCGCCCGCTCTATCCCTCCCCACAGCGCGCCCGCTCTATCCCTCCCCACAGCGCGCCCGCTCTATCCCTCCCCACAGCGCGCCCGCTCTATCCCTCCCCACAGCGCGCCCGCTCTATCCCTCCCCACAGCGCGCCCGCTCTATCCCTCCCCACAGCGCGCCCGCTCTATCCCTCCCCACAGCGCGCCCGCTCTATCCCTCCCCACAGCGCGCCCGCTCTATCCCTCCCCACAGCGCGCCCGCTCTATCCCTCCCCACAGCGCGCCCGCTCTATCCCTCCCCACAGCGCGCCCGCTCTATCCCTCCCCACAGCGCGCCCGCTCTATCCCTCCCCACAGCGCGCCCGCTCTATCCCTCCCCACAGCGCGCCCGCTCTATCCCTCCCCACAGCGCGCCCGCTCTATCCCTCCCCACAGCGCGCCCGCTCTATCCCTCCCCACAGCGCGCCCGCTCTATCCCTCCCCACAGCGCGCCCGCTCTATCCCTCCCCACAGCGCGCCCGCTCTATCCCTCCCCACAGCCCGCCCGCTCTATCCCTCCTCACCGCACGCCCGCTCTATCCCTCAACACAGCGCGCCCGCTCTATCCATCCCCACCGCACGCCTGCTCTATCCCTCAACACAGCGTGCCTGCTCTATCCCTCAACACAGCGCGCCCGCTCTATCCCTCAACACAGCGCGCCCGCTCTATCCATCCACACCGCACGCCTGCTCTATCCCTCAACACAGCGTGCCTGCTCTATCCCTCAACACAGCGCGCCCGCTCTATCCCTCAACACAGCGTGCCCGCTCTATCCCTCAACACAGCGCGCCCGCTCTATCCCTCAACACAGCGCGCCCGCTCTATCCCTCAACACAGTGCGCCCGCTCCATCCCTCGACACAGCGCCCCCGCTCCATCCCTCCCCTGTAATTTCAGTACAGCGTTGCATGACGGAATAAACGTCAGTCAAAGTACCGCAGCGCTGAATACTGAAAAATGGCCTGGCCAGGAAGGGGCTGTAACACCGCAGACTTCAAGTGGTAAATAAGGAATCTTCGGGGTGATAAGTCCATCTATCTATACATAATGTCACTCACAGAGCACCGATAGATAAGAAAGGATGATTGACAGGAACAGAATAATGGATCTCATGTCTAGTCACACTGCAGGCCCCAGTGAAATGGGAAGTATGGGAATCCTCTGGTGGACGGAGGAACTCACATTGTAAAGGGGATCCGCTAGGCTGAATACACAATATAACTTCTTATTTTGTCTGAAGCAGATAATGTTCACTCAGCTTAGTGCAAAAAGTCAAGTTAAACTCACAATTAGGGGATTAAAAAAAAAATAATATATATTTTGGCTTCCAGACGATTGGACAATTACCGTGAGCAGCGCTTCCACTTTATTCCCTAAGCTAAGTGAAAATATATCATTTATTTTTTTAAGTCAAATCCGCAGTGGAAGTACAATACTTGTGAATGGGATTACTGTAGGGAGAGCTCTGAGTGGGACTCAGCATGGGGTGTGATGGACCTTTGCAGAGAGGCCACTGCTTCCACATGCAGAGCAAGACTCCCACTCTGTAGCAGGTTGGCAGGGGACAGGCTTTTCTACTCATGCTGTGGCTGCTTTCTAAAGAAAATGGACTGTAAAGCTGGCCATACACCTTACAATTATCTGCAGATTTTCTGTGGTCAGATGGAAAAGGTGCAACAGATTCCTCCATCTACAATTAACTGTGTGGATGGAGTAATCTCCACCTGGGCCAATCTGTTGCACTTTTTCCATCTGACCACAGAAAATCTGCAGATAATTGTAAGGTGTGTGGGCACCTTAAGACTTTGCACACCTTTTGTTTTATTGCACCTGGAATGTATTTAGCCGATTTAAACTGAACATCCAATTAGGCTTTAATGAACTAAAAAACAAATCATTGCAAAACGATTCGACAATAACACACCCCATCTCTCGATGACCCTGTAAGGAAAACACACATCTCTGCAAATAATGTACATCTGCAGTTCTCCCGAGAGAGATTGTATGATTGGCTGCACAACTGTGTAATCCCCACACTCTATATCAGATCAATATGTGTCATCATAATAGTTCAGCCACCGTAATATAACACACTGAAGAGCAGACAGAACACATGTAACAATGTTACTTACTGGGAGCTGGAACATAAATATTACCATTACCGGGTGGCTTCCCTGAAATAAACAGAAGTTGATACATTAGGAACCAGAACCAGGAAATCATTTGTTTTTGAAAACATTTCATAAGAAGTCTTCAGAGAGATATATATACAGGGCTTGAAAAATCCACTTGTCCACTCGTCTGTGACGAGAGGATGGTGGAGCCCGACGAGCAGCTTCCCGGCCGGCCGTTGTAATTACACGGCCGGCCGACGGTCCCGAGATCCGCTGTGCCCGATGCAGCCAGGACCGGCACGGCTCTGTGACAGGAGATCAAAGGGAGTTCAGTATCCGAACTCCGTTTGATCTCCTCTCAGTCCCCGAATGCAGGAAGTGATGTATATTACGTCACTTCCTGCATTCAGTGTCACTCTCCAGCTAGAGGAGCTGATGAAGCAGATCTCGGCTTCATCAGCTTCTCTGGGGTCCCTAGGTGACATCAGGGGGTCTTCGAGACCCCTGATGTCGCAATAAAGAGGATCTGTCATGTAAATTGGCTATCCCATAGGGGGCTTCTTAGCCCCCCATGTAATAGCAATAAAGTTGTGTGTAAAAAAAAAAAAAGTAATACAAAAATTAAAGTTTAATAAAAAAAAATAAAGCATAAACATTTTTTAAAAGAAATTTTTGTTTAAGTCCCCGCCCCCCACATACACACACACACAGATATGGGTCTACGTGCGAAGACGATATGTTACATATCACCGCAAACGTCAGAGTAAGAGCAATAATTGTAGAGCCATTAAGGCCGGGTTCACACCTGGGCGTTTTACAGCGCTGATCGACGCGCTGTAAAACGCCCAGCAAGTAAAATCCCATTATTTCCTATGGGCATGGTTCCCACCTGGGCGTATTTCAGTGCGTCGGAACGCGCTGAAAAACGCCCTAAGCCCAAAGAAGTACAGGAGCTTATTTGTGGCGTATTTCCGCGCGTATCCGTTAGGTGCGCGTTTGATGGACCGCAAATAGGGGTAAAAATGTGCAGCCCAAAACGCGCGTCATACGCGCATATTTCGATCACCTAGGTGGGAACCCAGCACCCCCTCCCCTCCCCCATGGTGATTATATACCTCCAAAAGAAAGCTCTATCTGACCCACAAATTTTTAAACATGAATTGCAAGACTATAGTCCGGTCATGCTGACTGGTGACATTTTTGACTGTTGGTATTTAGCTCTGGATGGAGTGGGGATGGATTAGATCCTCTGATGATTTTTACTTATGTTGGTTGGTGAGATCTCTTCTTCCAGTGTCCATCATCCCAACAAGAGACACAGAGACCAATAAAACATGGCAGACCTTCCCTCCCCACTCTATCCAAACCCAAGTGATAGAGGTGGGCTTTGATCATGAAATAAGATCAGCAAACATGTCACATAAATGGCTCCAGTTGACAATATTCTGTAGTAGTGACAGTGAGTATCAGTAGGTGAGTATTGGTGGGTGAGTATTAGGGATCCACCGATACCGATACCAGTATCGATATCGGTGCCAATACCGAGTATTTGGGGGAGTACTTGCCCAATACTTCCTGTAGCAGGAAGCCGGGCAGTGCGTCATTACACGCTGCCCGGCTTCCTGATTGGCCGGGAAGCTGGCTCCATGCTCCCTCGTCACTTGGAGCCGACTTCAGGAAGCCGGGGAGCGTGTAATGACGCGCTGCTCGGCTTCCTGATTGGTCGAGAACCTGGCCAATCAGGAAGCCAGGCACCGTGTAATGACGCAAAGCCCGGCTTTCTGATTGGCCGGGAAGCCGACTTCATGCTCCCTCGTCATCTGTGCCGGGCTAAAGCCTGGTTCTCCTATATGGTGAATAGAGCTTTGTTGTGTATGGCATGGAGAAAATCTCACCTGGGACTGAGCGTTTCCTGTATATGATGAATCCAATAACAGCACCGATAATCAGCGCTGCAGCAACAACCGCAACAACCATAACAATGATAATTATATTCTTATTGTCCTTAGACTCTGCGCTGGGATCTGAGAGGAAAACACACAGGAAACATAACATGTGAGATCTACTGGCAATCATGTGTATTCAGTCCCACAATTTGCTGATTATAGTACATAGAAGCACACTGAGGTGAATTTATGAAAACTGGAGCAGACAAAATCTGGAGCAGTTGTCCATGACAACCAATCAGCATCTATATTTCACTTTCAAAGCTTAATTCATCAAATGGAAGATAGAAGGTTATGGGTTTTCATTATTAACTGCTCCAGATTCTGTCTGCTCCCGATTTTTATAAATTCTCCCCACGGGCCTCGGTGGCCTTGTGGGAAATCCGGGCCTGTTCTCCCCATTGTCCTGCACTGTTACATGATTTAGCTGAAAGCGAACAGATATAATGTCCTGCACTAAATCAGATGTAATGGGCTACACTCAGATAACATGGGACAAAAACAGACTCAAACATGCGTGATGGTCAGTACCTGGAGGTTGGATCTGAGCATTGCCAAAGTCCACGGAGATGTTGGGTTTTTCAAATGTGTAGAACAGACCTGACACTTCATGTTGGAGGGGAATCACGGAGGATAAAAATCAAACTATATCACACTGCAGTCAGGGCCGGTGCTAGTCTATTTTGTGCCCTTGGCAAGACCATCTACTTGCGCCCCAACAACCCGACCAAAAAAAACCTAGAAATTGCCAAGTTTGATTTTCAAAGACAGATTTGTAGAAAAAAAACAAAACGTGAAACTGTTAAAATTATACAACAATGCAGAATACCACCAGCTATAGAGGACAAATCACAGCAATACAGTATGCAGTATTAAAGATGAATAATACTTTAGGAATTTTACATACTACATACTCTGTGCTGCCACTCTGTTCTGGGATGCCAGCCTGATGTCTCGGGCAGAGGGTCTCAGGAGGGGTGCAGTAAGTCTCAGAGAGGTGCAGAAGGTCTCAGGAGGATGCAGAAAGTCTCAAGAGGGGTACGGTGGGTCTCAGGAGGGGTGCAAAGGGTCTCAAGAGGGGTGCAGAGGGTCTCCGGAGTGGTAAGGAAGGTCTCAGGAGGGGCACAGAGGGTCACTGTCATTGCTTAGTCTTATACAAGTTACTATGAGAGAGAGAGAGAGAGAGAGAGAGAGAAATATGGTACACTGGAGGTGATTCAATAAAGCATTTGCGACACTTTTCTGGCTTTATGGCCGTATCAGAAAGTTAATTGTTGAAAACATTAACTCCCCAGCCCCCTCCTTATACATAGGGAAGGTGGGGGAGGGGGGGGGGGGGGGCTGGGAGGA